TTTTCATTTTATTGAAACAAAAAAAATCCAATGTTGATCATTCTTTTTCCGTCTGTGTGACATAAATAAAGACAAAAATGCACTAATAATGTTCACTTTATTTTTTTGATATTAATACTTTCTTTATATATATTTCAAGAATAATGTAATTAACATGACAATAAAATATTCTATTTCTTATATTCTTATTGTAGATTATCCAGATTTTTTGTGTTGATGAATAAACTAAAATAGCAGATTTTTATTTTATTTATTTTTTTCTTAAATTAGTTATATATCTTGAAATTTGCCATCTTTTCTATTTAGTCACATGGAGAAAAAATAAATAAATTGCAAAATTGGAAAAATGCAAGTTGCACAAGCTAATAATTAAAAAATATTAACGATCTTCACTCCCATAATACTAGCTGGTGGACATATTAATTTGTTGGTATATGTGTCCTAGAGACAATCTTTGTGAGGACATATATACATGATCACATTAATAATTATATTGAATTATTATTATGATATTGCCATTAATTAAATAATTGTTTGATTGTTTGCAATTTATTAATTAATTACTCCCTTTAGTTAATACTGTCATTAACAGAGTGAGATGTTAATTGATAAAGTATAACTCTCAAGTAGCCTCAATCGATGATCATTAAGAAATGGATATTAATGATACACATTAGATTGACATGTGGTCTGCATCACATTCTTGGAGAATATAGTATGTCTCACTGCTATGAATAATTGTTATTCGTGATGGACACATGGATACTTTAATGAGTATTGACATACCCTACCAATAAACCATTTGTTTATGTGTCTATTGGAGTATCGGTGTGTGGAATGGTGTAATAGTCCTTTGTCTTAAGGTCAATACGCAATTCATATATAGAGTGATTTACTTAGACCTAGTCCAAAGCTTACGCCCTTATGGGTAGATACGGGCTTGTGTTGAGTTGATCACGATATACATGGAATTGGTAGTTAAGCTAAGATAGGATTCATTCCTCGAATAAAGTTTCGAGAGAACACTCGTTTTCTTTATACTGGGTTGATAAAGTCATTGGTCAATGCACGTGATTATATTTGAAATGGTGTTCAAATATAATTGATAAAATCAACTAGTAAGATGAGATAAAATGATTAAGCTGTTTGGATAGACACTTGTTCAAGTCTTAAGCTTAATCGAGTGGTTCGTGAATGAAGGGATCGTATCACTATTGAATTTTACACTTAAGGTTGTTTGTTTTGTCTATGTAAACGTACTTCATATTTTGAGTTTATCTTTCGACGTAGTCTAAGAGTTTCGTTAGGATCATAAATTAGATTTATGTCAATATATGAAGGCCTATAGGGTCACACAATATGCAATCCGTTTTCCGACTAAGAGTGAATCAAGATTTTTAAATATTCAATTATATTGGAATATTTATTTATGAGTAATGAGATTATTTTCTATTTGATAGAAAATATTTAATTAAGTTAAATTGAATTTATAATTAATTAAGCTATTAAATGAATTAGGTCCAATTATCTATTGGGCTATAGGATTTTGCAAGGCACAAAATATGTTGCAAGACATTCAGACACCCCTTTTCTTTGTAAATGCTGCTTATGATTCATGGCAGGTAAGAAACACACAGACCTTTGACAAATCAAAATTAGAGTTGAATTATTATTACTAATTAATTTACTGTCCTAATTTTGCCAGATTAAGAACATCCTGGCATCTGGAGCTGCTGATCCACATGGCAAGTGGAACGCTTGCAAGGCTGCGATAACGAAATGTTCGCCGGATCAAATCGAAATCATGCAAAGTTAGTTCCGTTTCGTTTTGTCAAAACATTTCTAGTCGAACGAGTGCTTTTGCACCATATTGTATAGTTTTCTTGATGCAAAATATGATTATGTTATGTTTTTTGTTTTTTTCATCAGGTTACAGACAACAATTCATAGAATCGTTAATAAACGCTTTGGATTCGTCCGAGTCGGCAGGATACTTCATCAACCCTTGCTACACGCACTGCCAAACCGAAACACAGGAAACGTGGCTTAGTCAAGGCTCTCCCCTGGTTCATAAATCGAACTTTCGAACTATAATATTCTCCATTTTTTTCGTAATTGGAACTTTTGAAATATAATAATCTTTGTT